CCTGCCACACCATGGAGGGGGGCACCCAAAAGCCTGTAGGCGTCAGGACAAGGTTCTCCAGGCTGCCAGGTCCTTTCACAAGGACCTTTGCCTGTTTTTGGCCAGGAATACACAGAATGACCAGAAGGAATTAAGCCAGCTCTAGAGGATGGTCTGGGAACTCCAGGGGCAAGCAGAGAAGTGCCCTTCCTGCCACTGCACGCGTGATCCTGCCCCTCTGAGATGCCCAAGTGGCAGCAAAGGAGGGCAGAGGCAGACCCACACCCCCCCCCTGGACACACAGGGCTAACAGAGCTGTCTGCTCCTGCAGGCACGGGCTGAAGGTCATCTCAAGTTCCTCTCCAGAAGAGGGGAATTGTCTGGCCCCTCCACCAGGCTTGAGCAGCGGGTGGCTGCCCCGCAGGGAATGGCTCAGCCCTGCTGACAAGATGTGACACACTGGCCTGGCAACTGTAACACTCACTCTCTGGAGACACTTTGGCTTAACTTAAAAGTTTTTCCGAGAGGAGCCTCCAGCAAACATCTGCCTGTCGTTAAACGAGAGCGTCAGAACAGAGGAGGAGGCCTGCAGAGAGGAGACCCCCGAGCAGCGCCTGCCCTGGGAGCACAGTCCTGGGGACAGGGCTGGGGTCTGGCCAACAGCAGGGGGTCCCAGCAGCTCTGCCTGCCTCCGTAGGCACGAGGCCTGCAGCTGGGCAGCTGGAGGGGCTGTTCTTGTTTGTTTAAAATTATTTTAAGAGGAGGATTGGTTTATCTGCAAGACCTGCAACAGTGAGCTGCCTCCTGGTCGTTTGGGATGTTGTGGACCAGACTGCTGAAGGAAAGCTCAGGTAAGATGCACAGGGTGCTGCAACCTGAGGCCAGCTCAGAGCTCCTGGCAGAGGTGGGGACACAACCCTCCCTGCGCCTCCTCCTTATCCCAGGGGACGTGCACTGAAGTCACTTGTTACAAACACAAGCCCCAGCACTCCCACTCCAAGGCTTTCTACGACCACACAGACTCTGCCAGAGCCAACTTAGAGCACAGAAAGTAACAAGGGAAAAACCAGCAGATACAAAAACAAACAAAACCCCACCCAGCTCCAACTGACCTTTTGCAGCTTGTCCCGGTTCTCCAGTAAGAGATTTTCTGTGCGCCTGTAAGCCTGAGCCACCAGGACTTTGGCTTCCTAGAGGAGAGCAACAAGAAGAGAGATTTGGCGCTCAGGTGGGAACAAATATGACATGGATAAACAAGGAGAGCTCAGAGGGATGGAATCTGCTCGCTGAGCCAGGCAGAAAGTGGTTCCCACCAACAGAATATACAGATAAGCTGTTTGAAAAAAAGCCAGAGGGCTCATGATAAGAAGCAGTGAAGTGCACGAGGACAACTCTCCAGCAGAGTTCCAGCTGATGGGAACCACAGTCCAGTGAAGGAGGCCATCCAGGAGGAAAAGGTGCAGCTCAGCACAAACCCCAGGAAAGCACAACCACAGCACTTCTGAAACAGTCTTTCATTTCCAGCTATCTAACTTTTCCACTAAGGCAATGTTTTTATTGCAGCAAGGAAGCCTAGTTTCCCAAGACAGGCCAACACTTCCCAGTCTGTCCAAGCCACCTGCCTGGTTAGATAGTCCCCCTGATCTAGGAAGTTAAGACATTTAAATAGTGCAACTGAGACTTTAAGACACAGGTTTCATGTAACCTGAGCACTGTACAGCCACGCCTAGATAAACATGGGACTCCTGAGAGCCTGGAGACAAATATTTGTCTATCTATTTGTCCACAGCTCCACAACAACACCCTAGACTCCCCAGATTACTCCTTTTCCCAAAAAGCATTTCTCCCTCTCTCCAAAAGTCACATTGGCTCCTCCTGTCTCCCAGAAGCTCCCCAGGGTCTTGCCCACACTGGCACCACCGCAGTTTTATGCACTACAGCATATTTTACAGCCACTTGCTGCAGCTTCAGGGAGCACACTGGGCTGAACTCACAGCTGGATGAGATTGTGCCTGTTCTGGAGGCCTCGCTCACAGTCCCAGCACACGGTGACAGAGCAGGAAGTGCTCAGTTGCTGAAGTTCACTGCTTCGTGGCTCAGAGAAACATGCAAACTGATTGGGGGAAGAACAAAGAGGAGCAGGAAACCACGGGTGGCCTTACATGGTCCATCATTTGCTGCAGTCCCTGGCTGAAAGGGCGCCGACCGATTCCCGGGGCACTCTCCAGGTCTGGGAAGGAGAGTTGCCCGATGCTGGGCACCATCCCGTACTGCTTCACCATGGAGTAGGCTATCTTGGTCACCTTCTTCAGGTCATCCTGAGCTCCTGGGCAGGGGAGAGAGACACAATACTTGCCAGCTCTGAGCTGAGTGCAGGAGGAGCACATCCTGCACAAACACTCATCCCACCAGTTGAGAGACCCACAGAAGCCCCCAGGTCTTCATGCACTGATGGACCTTCCGACACACAGCAGCGAGAAAACCTTCTGGTAGCTCACTCCTGTGCCACTGCCTGCTGCTGACATCCCATGTTGATAGAACTAGTTGGAAACACTAGGCCCCCCCATGAGCCAAAAAGTCTTACTGGGTAATTGTATCTGTGGCCTCAGGCTTTGGGATAAGTCTACAACAACACAGAGGCAACCAACAGTGAGACCTCCACGCTCACAAATGCAAGCCCAAGATCAAAACACAGTTGGATATTTCTCCTTCTCAGGGTAGGAGACTTCTGCTGCTCAGGTCACCTTGGACATAACAAGTGCAAAAATTCAGGCTCCCTGAGCACAATCTCCACCTGCCCGTGCCTGGCTCCTCACCTGTGGTGACTTTGTTAAAGGTGATGGCCTCAGCCACTCTGCCCCCCAGAGCCATGCACATCCTCTCCAGCAGCTGCTCCTTGGTGAAGAGGTACTGCTCTCTGGGAAGGATCTGAGCAAATCCCAGCGCGGCGTTAGTCCGAGGGGCTATGGACACCTGGAACACAGAGCAGCTCCCTCAGGTCAGAGGACAAGAGAGGTCCCAGCTGCCCAGCTGAGGGAGCACAGGACAGAAACAGGCCTGCATTCCCAGTGGAATCTGCTGTAAGCTGTGGGGCAGGGTGAGCTACAGAGACACAGCCAAGGACTGCAGCCTGTCACCATTCCTGTACCCCAGGCTCTGCCTGCACAGCTGCACACAGACACTTTCTGCTCAAGAAATGAAAAGGAAATTGCCCTCAACAGCAAGCCAGAGAAATCCTGGTATTTGGGAGTTGCCTTGGAGGGTCTGAGCCAGAGTTCACTTTACTGAGTTCCAGAATCACTGACACTACCTGGGGAATGATAGGTTGTTTTCAGAAAAATAAGAACCATTCCCCCCACCCACTAAATGAGAGTAATTAACAACAGTTCAGCTTGTACAATAGGTCATTCAGAGTGAATTTGCTGCTGGTGTTGAGCCAAGGAGCTGTTGCCCTTGTCATTTCCACTCTCTGTGTCAAGGCTTTTTGAGGAGAAGTCCATGGAAGAGCATGGAAGGCCTCTCCCTACAGAGAAGGGCCTCAGGCAGACAAGCTCCCAAGCATGTCCATCTGAAAACCGCATCTCTCTCCATCAGTATCAGAGCAGCTCCTGCAAGGGCTGCGACACACTGGCAAGGCCTGGCAGGGACAGAGCAGGGACACACAGAGCAGAGCCCTGCCCCTGGAGGGGGGACACGAACCCAGCAGGAGGAGACTCGGCTGCTCCAAGCAGCTCTACAGTGGCTTTTCACTGCAAGGCTTCTCCTATAGCTGGTTAATCAGCTTTGCACCACCACTGTCATTAATGGAGCCCGATTGGGGATTTCACCACAGGGTATTTGCCCTTTATTTTGCTGCAGTACTCCCAGCTCCAAGCTCGCAGAGGCTGGGATTACACAGCCAAATTCAACACAAATACTACAAAACAATCAGTGCATCTTGGGCAGGGGAACCCCAAAGGACCTCTTCCCACCCAGTGACAGCTTCATCCCTCAGGCAGCTGCTGGTGGTGGAGTTACCTTCATCACAGCCTCCGTGTGCTCCAGCAGCCAGCCCACCAAGGCATGGCCCGACTCGTGGAATGCCACAACCTTCCTCTCTTCTGGTGACAAGATCTGATTTCTTTTGGCAGTGCCTACAGGAACACAGAGAAACTGATGAGATAGCTGGCACAGGTATAACCAGCAGGGCAGAGTCCTGTGCAGCTGGGGGCACAAGGTAGCACAGGCTGTGGCTGAACAGCCAAGAAGCTTCAGCTCAAACCCTGTCTCGGGACAGGCAGCAAAAGCCCTGCAGTTCCATGCTGTGGAAGGTGCTCTCTGTCCCTCCAGCAGAAAGAAATCCATGCTTGGGTTGCATGAAAACACTGGCAGAAACTTCTCCCCCCTTCTCCTTACAACAGACTTAATCATTAGACAAGTAATTTAATGTCTGATGAGGTCACAGCTCTAGAAAGAACAGTTCTGCTCTCCTCCAGCTCTGCCAAAGGCACATTATGTTGTATTTCTGCCCAGGGAGAGATCTGCAGCAACTTCCTCTGTCATTTGCAAAAACAACCTGACAAAACCCAAACCAGAGACTGGCTAGGATGTGATACTCATTTTGCTGTATGGTCGTTCAGTCCCTTAGGCACAACATGAGAAGTAAGATGCTGTACTCTAAGAGAGAAGTCCCAGTTGGGATTGTTGTGCATTAGGAGTGTTCAAATCAGCAAAAGACCAAGAGTATATGAAATAATCTTCCTCCAAGACTGTGGAAGTGTCTCTGATTACACGTTGCATGCTCCACGTGGGCTTATTCCCAGGCTCCAGAGAACTAGCAAATTAAGCCATAACTCACACTTAACACATCCTCCAAAAAGGTGATTTTTTGAAAGTCTCTGTTTGCCAACCCAGTAATCCCTAACGCAGAGCAAGTCCAATTAGGATTTAAACCACAAAACAAAGTGCTGAATTGAAGTAAAACTTCTAGTCCATAGAGCAGATGTTAACTACAGAACACAGTGCATCTCAAGCACTCGTTATAGCTCTGCATGCTGAAGGAAAAAAGGTACCAGTGCTTTAAAGCTGATTTGTCTGCAGAGTGCCAGGAGCAGCAGGGGGTAGAGCAGGCAGAGTCAAGAGCTGTATCACACCAAGCTTGCTTCACATCTTGGAAAACAATATTCTATTAACATTAATTTTTAAACAATGTCAAGAGCTTTATTAAACAAGGAAACAGCAAAATTAGCATGGCAGATCTTGTAAAATTACTGCTCAGGGACCCTGAAAACAACTGTACCCTGCAAGGCATAATGGTGATGGAACAGCAGATTACTTGGAATAACCTTGATTTTCATCAGTCCCTCACCCTGCCTTCAGCAGCCTATGCATCTGCCTGTGTCTGCAGAAAGATGTGTCTGTGTATATATGTACATATATATATACACACACTCTGGAAGCAATCCTGTCAGCCCACCAAGGAGGGAGGGACTACACCACTCACAACAGCACACAGGGGTTACTTCTTTCCCTACACAAAGCAACCTCCAGGCAGGCAGGGGCTCTGAAGGCCTGTACTTACCACACTTAAGAGACAAACAACCTAGAAACAACTCTGGTGCATCTTTGCTGGTCTTACACTGTACACAGACCCCACCAAGAAAACAGGCTCCACTACATCTTCTGAGGACAACCCCTAAATGCCTCTGTGCACTCAGCAGGTTTCCTCCCTCCCTCCCACGAGACCTGACTTATTGACTGCTTTCTGTTCCCAAACTAAAAACACAATGGGAACTACCACAGAGAGAAGTTCTTACTCCTCCCTTACAGCAACACAAAGCTTTAAGGCTGACAGGGCCTCTGGACTTGCAAAGCTCTCCTTTGATTCCACACCACTCTTATTAAAACCAGAAGCTTATAATGGAGAGCACAGTCATATCTTCTTTCTTTCAAGAAAAGCTTTTATAGCAACTGAAATGCCCTCTGGATTGTGAAACCCAGGAGCATTCCTGTCACATGGCAAGGGTACATTTCACACACAGGCCTGGAGGGTTGTTTGGGGCCTTTTAGATTTATTTGGTCTACAAAAAATAGCCAGGTCCTGCTAAGAGGAAAGAATCTTATTAAGCAACAAAAAGCCTTTACAGCCTCCTACAGGCCACAGAGCCTGAATGAGGCCACTGAGCTTGTCTGCAGTGCAACTGCTGAGGCCCGTGCCCTGCAATGCCCCCCATTAATCCCAGAGAGCTACACATCCCCTGTGGCCTCACCTGCTTTTTGCCTCATCTCCCAAGTCTGGGGAGCTCAGGCCAGGGAGGAATTCAGAGAGAAAAGCCAAGGGAATCTACAGGGTGGGTGCTTTCTATCCTGCAGATGGGAAAATAAAGCACATCTTTGCTCCAAGTCTGGGGAGCTCAGGCCAGGGAGGAATTCAGAGAGAAAAGCCAAGGGAATCTACAGGGTGGGTGCTTTCTATCCTGCAGATGGGAAAATAAAGCACATCTTTGCTCCAAGTCTGGGGAGCTCAGGCCAGGGAGGAATTCAGAGAGAAAAGCCAAGGGAATCTACAGGGTGGGTGCTTTCTATCCTGCAGATGGGAAAATAAAGCACATCTTTGCTCCACTGATGAGGACTTCTGTGTCACAACTGGGAGCAGTCTGGGCTTTGTGCCAGCGTGCCCACAATTTCCCAAGGGTTTGCTTTTTAAGAGGCAGGTGAAACTGTCAGGAATTTTCTCAAAAGCCTTCTCATCAATGAGGAATTGTTTAGGCTTTTTCTGAAGGAGCAAACCCTCAAGATTGAATTCCAGGATCAGGAAAGAACCGATCCAGTACAAACATCCTGTTCCACACACTCGACTATGAGCAGAGTGTGTCAGTCTGTGTGCCCAGGGCCACCCTGGCACGACACTGGGACCTGTGAGGGTCTGACTGTGAAAGCCACAGCCTGGCTGCAGGGAAGCTCAGACCCAAACCCACCACATCTGAGTCCTTCAGGTGAAGTCAAGAGTTCTGAGAAGTTTTGTTGGGTTTTTTTTCCCTCTAATACACTGCTGCAGGGTAATCTCCAGAGGTTCCTCTGCTGGCAATCACACAGGGAAAGGCCGACAGGATGTTCCCAGAGGGAGAACAGTACTCTACTGTCTTTCAGTGGATTCTGCCAATTCATCAAAAGCTTTGGCTCTGAAGCCAAAAAAGAAAAATCTCTAATTTCTTGCTGCTGAGGATGTGAAGCCCATTTGCTATTCATGTGTATGTAGCAGGTGTCCTGAGCAGCAAGAAAAACCCAGAGATACTTCCACTCTTTCTTTTTAAAAACAACATCAACAAAACCCAACCATTTTAAACTGAAAACATGCAAATTTGAGTTCCCCTCTTTACTTTTTGCTACTGGCATCTTCCTTGAGCTATGGGTCCAAGCTGCCTGCAGATTCAGGAGGATAGATCCATCTGGGGTCTTATTTGGGGAACTGTGACTCTGGCATCTAAGCCCTTCAGGGCAGAGCACAGGCAGGATCCCTCTGTCTTCCTGGAATGTAACCTGCTCACTTGAGCCTCCTCTCCAGAGCCTGACACAGACTGAGACAACAAGAGAACTGGGTCACTCACCAGCAATGACTCTTTCCACAGCATACTCGAAGTTGGAGGTATCGATGGATTTGTGACCTTCTCTGGCAGCATGAAGAGCAGCTTCATTACATATATTTGCTATGTCAGCTCCTGCAGGCAAGAGTTGAACAAGAATTGCACTGGATTTGTTATCTGACAGATTTCAAGGGGCAGAAGAGGCAAGAACAAATCTGGAGAAGGACCTAAGGAAGTCAAATAGCCTGCATTACTTTGTTCCTTGGGAACAGAGAGCAGACCTAGTCTGTGGTGTTTATGTTGGATTGGAACAATACAGCTGCCTTGGCTCTGGAGGCTGGGCTGCCACACACAGGCCAGAGCTCAGCCATCAATAATGCCCAGGCTGAAGCCAAGCTGGCTCTCAGCAGCAGGGGATGCCGGGGCAGCCTGAGTTGGCACGGGCTGCTGCACTGTTCACAGAGCAACCAAAAACCTCAGTGCTGAAGAGAAAGAACATCTGTTCTGAGTTTGTGTGGGTGGGTGATGTTGGTGGGGGGCTGCTGAAAGAAGTCACGGAGAGGCAGTGTGCTGGGGCCTGTTAGAGGGGAAGCCCAGAAAGGATACTGCAGGAACTCCAGATAAACAGGAACTCTGGAGCCCCTTGCTCAGCACTCTTTCAAACTCCCAGGGACCTACCCGGGAAACAGGAGCCAGAACTGTCCCAGTTTGTACTCTGACCAAAGGAATTGCTATCTATTCCTTCTAGCACTTTCCTGGGAACATGCATCAACTTTAGAGTCTTTCCCCTGAAGTGCAACATCTTATCATCTCCTCAACAGGCTGGACAGGACTGTGAGCACTGGTTCCTTCCCTTAGGAATTAGGAGCCCAGGCATTATAAAAGTATATTTTCCCTACCTCCACACCCTGCTAGTCCCAGAAGACTGAAAATAGCCATGAACAATTGCTCATCACAGCTCCACTCAGCAGGGAGCTGGTCAGGTTCCCACTATTGCCATAGAGATGGAGAAGGTTTCAAGAAAAAAGCCCTTTATACCAAAATACCCTGTTTGAACTAAGCAATCAAAAAGCTCCAGGCTGAACTGCAGAACTGGAGCAGGAGCAGGCAGAGCAGCCCCTCAGGGGCAGAGCATGTCCTACCACTGAAGCCTGGAGTCAGTTCAGCAAGGTGCTGAGAGTAGAAGCTGGCATCTTGGATCAGCTTGAGCCCCTTCAGGTGCTGCTCGAAGATCTCTCTTCTCTCCTGCAAAGAACACAGAACACCTGAGCCCAGCAAGGCAGCAGCTCCCAGGCTAGGGAAGAGCAGCCCTGGCAACAGGGACGGGGCCACTGCCAGCAGAGGGCAGGGCTGTCCTGACAGCGGTTAGAGCTCCAGGAGCCCTGATCAACACCCAGCTCTCAAATTCAGAACAGATGTAGGAGGCCTACCGTGAGTCACTGCTTTCTCTCCCAGGGCCACTCTCCCCTCCCAACTTTCACTCTGATCTGTCTTGACTTCTCTCTTACCATAAAAGCACCAGCAGGAAGGAGCCCCCACTGCCTCTACCTGCTCCCTCACACCCTGCAAAGGCAAACCCGAACTGCCAGCTCCACAGGCTGAAACCGTTTCCCAGACGGAGGTGGGGGAGCTGCCGGCTGGCAAGGAGCCAGGGAGTGACTCATTCCGCTGGTCCAGGAGATCCTGATTAAAACAATGGGCTCGCTTGCCAGGGTTTTTCCCCTTCCTCCTTCAGGGCAGCTGCACAGTTCATGCTTCCGGTGCCAGATTGTATCAGGCATTTAAGGTATTTTAACTGAAAACTATGAGGATGCCAGTAAAGCACAGATGGGAGAAGAAGAGCTTGTGCTGCCAGAGCAGGCAGATCCTCACTGCAGCTGAGCCTGTTCCCAAAACTCTGCCACCAATGTCAACACGGCGGTCACGGAAGACTCCTAGTAAATGGATTTAAAAAGCATTCAAGAGAAAGTCACTGAACAGGCTGCCTAAAGGAAAATGAGGAGCCTTACAAGGATAGTGAGGACAATAAACCTAAAGAACAAATGTTGCTCAAGGCACATGACAATTTAAACTCATACAAGCCAACTTGCCAATTAGGTGGTTCCCAATTTCCTGGAGAGAAGACACAAACATAGTTCTGCATCTGCATGGCAAAGACAACTTCACAGGAGAATTCACTGCCAAAGCTCATACCAGAGCAGAGGGACTTAAAACCAGTGAATTATCCTTTCAGAGAAACAAGCAACTGCATTAGCATTGTCAAATCCTTGATTTAGAGCTCAGAAGTGAGAATAAAGGCAAACAGAAGCTTGTCTCCCTATTGTCTTTGAGCTCAGCCTTTGCCAGGCCAGAGAATCACTAGCAGGGACTGGGACACAAGCATTAAGTGAAGACAGGACAGTAGGTGGGATATACCTGGAGGGTAGGAAGATCAATAAAGATGTGCCTGTCGAGCCTCCCAGGCCTCATCAAGGCATTATCCAAGACATCAGCACGGTTGGTGGAAGCCAGCACTATGACATGGTCTGCAGTTCCCATTCCTGTAGAAAAACAAGCAAAACCAGAGGTGAAGGTTCTCATCACTACAGATACTGCATTGCAAGGACACAAAGGGATGGGGCAGGGCAGGATGTGCAGAATGTCTTGCAGGGCTTTATCACAAAGACAGAGGGTGTTCACTGCATCCTCTGGGGCAGCTGAGAAAGTGTCCTCTTCAGCTAGGACAGGAAAGAACCTCTGGAGTCACCCAGGTCAGTCTTTGGTCATCACAGATAATCTGAATTTCCCTTTTCATTTATTTAATAAACTTTGGCTTAAAATATTGTTTTATCCCTCCTTTTGCCACATTTAGAAATTGCTCCAACTAGAAAGGAGAATGGAATGAGTTGGAGATGTCTTCCTATCCCCAGGCTTATGTAATTTCCTTCTCCTGCAGCTCCAGGTTGTACAAACAAGGTTTACTGGCTGAAACAGCCTTTCCTTCTCAAATATTTCTGTGGAAAGCCCTTTCAGCTTACGTTTACTTTTAGCCTTCAGTCACAGACAGGCCACCATGATCACCAGGGGAGGGAAAGGCTTTCTTCTGACCAGCTCAGGTTAATGCAGAAAGGGAAGAGGTAACCTGACCACCCAGTAAGGGGCATGTTACAGCATGGTTTGGATCTTGTCTCACTTGTCTTCTCCCACTCAGAAGGCACCCAGGCATACTGGAGACCAGTGCAAAGACCAACCCTGCAGAACCCACACCACAGACACCTAGACAGACACAAAACACAGCCAAACAGCTCTGCAGTGATCATTAGCATACACTAGCTCAAGCCACAGTCAGAGGTTTTGTCTCCAGGTCTTAATGATGGTGGGGGCATCAGGATTGACATGCTTCAGTAGAGTAGCCTGCAGTATGGAGGCATCAAAGGCAGCCAGGGCTTCCTGGGGAAGCCAGAGCACTGGCAGCTCGAGGAGGGCAGAATGGGGCAGGCAGTTGTGCTGCTTGGGTGGGGAGTCAGAGATCATGTTGAATCACTGAACCACACTGCTTATTTATTACATTCCCTCAGGTGCCCCCAGGCCCCTGGGTATGAGTCACCTGCTTACAGCAGATTGGACAGCCCTGGCACACAGCAGCCATCCCAGGGAAAGGATGCCTTGGTCCCATGTGCTTCCCTCCCTGCCAAGTCACACGCTGCAGAGGCAGCGTCACGCACGTACACGGGGTGAGTTTCAGCTCCCCCCAGCTCCTCCAGAAGAGCTGCTGCCAAATGTGTCAGCACACACGAGCTCAGCAGGGAGATTAAGGTTACAGGTAACTCAGAAGGCTGGCTCTGTCAGCTTGTGCTGTAGCAGACCTCAGCCCTTCCTCCCTGCAGGATGCTGTCTCAATAAGCTCCTGGAGAGGATGAAGCTGGCCATCCTTCAGGCATGTGTTACACTGCACTTTGGGGTGTGATCAATAAGCAGCCCTGCAGGCACTCAGGGGATAGCAAGCTTCATTCACACGACAGGATTAGATGGTACAGCACATTATCTGCTTTGCAGCTGGGAAAACTCTCTTAAAATAGGTCTGACTATTAGAGCAAATATAAAAAAACCCAGAACCACTGACAGCAGCTTCCTCCTTCCATCAGCTTCTGCCCCACTTGCTCTCAAGCCTCCATCCCTGTGGTGCAAAACACTGCTCTGAGAAACCAACTGCTGCAGCTTCTGACTCCTGTGGCTGTTCCCAGTGCAGTGTCACCTGGCACCTCACAGGAAAGAGCAGCCATAGGAACAGTCTACAAAACAACACCTCAGTCAGATCAACAAATAAAAACTAAAGCTTTGAAAATCTAGCCTGAAGAGAGCCTTTGTATCTACAATGTTTATAAATGAAGCTGCTTCAAAAAGGGAGGGGAAAAGAGGGTCCACTTGAACTGGCAAGTGCTCTGCTCCCCACTGACACAGAGCAGGTTATTTCAGTGGGCATCTCATCTGCATTGTTACACTGTGGAATTCTCCAGCCACCTGTTCAAAAGCCTTCTGGATCTCATCTGTGAATAGCATCACCAAAACAGGGCTTCCTTTGTGAGGGAAGCCTCAAGGTCAGAAACGTGCCTACAGCACAGAGCAGAGGTGAGGTCTGGTCTGAGGACTTGAGGTCAAGAGCTGCTACCAAAAGATGTCCTGCATTTCCATTCACAAAACACAGAGCAGTCCAGGGCTGTCAAGCTCCTGTGAAATGCAGAGCAGAGGAGATATTTGGGTCACATTGCTCTTCTGCTTCTTTGTAGTTTGTGAGGGAAGATTCACTATTCAAACCAGGCACCTGTTTTGACAAAGACTGGAGTAGATGTGTCACTCTGCTAAAAACAGCTTTTGTATGTGCAAGCTCCCTCCAGTCCCTTCCCTTCTCCCACCAGACTCCTGGTGCTTCTAGAACACAAAGAAGCTGTCAGAGTTAAGGAAGCCAAGGCTGCTCACAGGAAGAGCACCACAATTACTCTAAACCCTTTGGACCAGAATGATCAGGTATCAAACTGCACATTCATCCCATCCAGTGTCACATAATGGCTGTTTTCTTGGTGTCATCATCCTTCCCCCAGCCTGCAGAGCAGGTTCCATATAGCTCTGACCCTTCTTTTCTTCCCCAGTCTTACCTCTGAGTAATCTCATTGGAACACACAAATTCAACCATGTTGCTGATGACTCACAGATCTACTTCTGTGCACCATTTCTTTCACACCAACAGCTAACGTGGCTGGACGCTGTTGCGCCGCACAACTTCAACCAGCAATTTCAGCTAAAGACAGCTAAAACAGAGCTCTCAACCTTCCATTTCAAGGCTTCCTCACCACAAACACACACCACGCCTCTGCTTGTGCTCAGGCAGAATTATTAACCTCCTAAAAAACCTTCTTCACCATCATGCTGAAAAGGATTTTGCTATGATGCACACAGCTCTTCAGTGTTGATTTAGGCAACATGGTCAGGCAGGTAACATCTCACGTGCCAAGATCACTGCTCCTGAGCACAAGCCAACAGTGAATCCAAGTTTCTCCTACCAGCCTGACAGTCCTTGCCAGCTGTCTCCCTTTTGACATTGTAAACTCCTTGGGCTATTTTTTTTTTAGTATGTGTTTGATAAAGCACTTAGCAAAATGAGGGACTTGGTACATGATCTGTATGAGGCACAAATAAATAATGAGACACTGTACATTTATAAACAAGCCAGGGAGCACACAGCAAACAAGGGACTATTAAAGTATATGTGGAGGATAATTTCACTTCTAAACTCACTTTATTCCAACAGAATTGTACCCTGATTTCTGCCTTGAGACTCACCAAGAAAATACTCTAACAACCATGACTGAGACTGGAAAAAATCAAGCATTTTCATTTTTGGTATGGAGATGCGGATTGTACTGACTACACGTTCCTGAACAGATGGACCTCCATTTAATTTGTTGTTGATCTGTTTCCAGCTCACCCTACAACTGTCAGAGGAAAAAATCCCAACCAAGCCAGGGTTGTGTGCTACTCCTGGCCTTTCCTGTCAAGCCCATCTACTACAGGGATCAGCTGAAAATAGTTCTGTTCACTGCAAGTCAAATTCCCCGAGTTGGTGCACGCGTGCAAAGTTCCAGGGAACTTCATACACATATTTAGGATGATTTCTGGTACCTGCACAGCATTCTGGGTTCCAGGGGTGTTCTGATAACTAGATCTATGTGGGGTTGTTCAGAACCTACTCAAAGTTTATTCCTCTCCTTCAAAAACTTCTTGGCATCTATGCTGAAGCAGAGAGGGGTCTGCAGGGACTCCAAAGCAGTATCACTCTATGCTGTCTCTACCATGCTGTGCTCCTACTTACAATTTCTCCTTCTGCAGCAAGGGCAGAGATCCAGAATTACAGATCATCTTGTGTGCAGTAGGAAGGAACATCTACCCTTTGCTGAAAGCATTTTTGCAAGCCCCAGCTTCCCTCCTTGGAAAGGGAGGACTGACTCCAGAGCAATCTCCAGAAGACAGTCTTGCTGCTGTACTGCAGAACCTGCTCTAATTCAGTGGGGCTGCATCCCCATTTCACTGCAAACTTCCAGGAAAAAAACCCGAGCAGTTTTAACCCCCAAGGTCTAGAGAAAGTGGGATGCTCTTAATTCTTCATATAATGAGACAACAAGTGTCACAGTTACAGTCAAGGGAAAAGGCAGCTCTGGCCCTTGAAGTTACCTTGTTTACGTCCCATGGGCTTTAAAACACTACCTGTCTTGGATGGACTCCAGCAAGTACCCAACAACATTTAATGGCCAGCTGGACCTAAATGTCACCCTCTACAAGCAGCAGTGCCCTTCCTGCCAATTCCTCTTCTTTTAGTTCCCCAGTACTGTAAATAATTCTCCTCTGAATGCATACTCCCAAACTGAAGCCATTTGCTACAGGAAGAGTCCCTGGGGTTGCTGTCCTCTGCCAGCCATGATCTCCAATACACGTTTTCTGTTGATTTTATGAGCAGGTGGATGCCACATGGTGCAAACTTACTCAGGATGGGGCACTACCCTCTCTTCTCACTCAAGTCACAAAACCAATTAGCTCTAGGGTCTTAAAATTCTCTAGGTTTAGCACAAGTCTATACAAGTGCCCAGCTTTCAAGAGGATTATCTCCACAAGTTAATCACAGCATATACTCAGAGATCTGACCTAAGCACCATTCCTTCCCTTGGCACCATCAGCTCTGGACCAGTCTTGCCTGTCTCTCCAGAAGGGAAGAGGAGAATGAGATTTGTGTTCATGCAACCCTGATTCCTACAGCGAGAAGAGAGTGTGGAAGTTGCCCCCTATCACCCCTATGGTGTTCAAGGCAAGGTTGGATGGGGCTTTGTGCATCCTGGTCTAGTGAAAGGTGTCCCTGCCCTTGCAGGTACGTTGGAACTAGATGATCTTCTATGTCCCTTCCAACCCAAACCATTCTATGATTCTATAAGTGGCATGGCAAGTTCAAGCAGGAAGAAAGATGTAGAGGTGATCAGGGCCCAACTGCTGAGGGGCAGAGAGAAATACTGACCATCCATTTCCACCAGCAGCTGGTTTAAAGTCTGCTCCTCTTCAGCATTGGCAAACCCAGAGATGTTGGTCGAACGTTTCTTGCCCACAGCATCGATCTCGTCGATGTAGACGATGCAGGGGGCACGAGCCTGGGCTTCTCTGAACAGGCTCCGGACCCTGGCAGCTCCAAGACCTGGAGGGGAAGGGAAGAAGTCAGTCTTGTAGCTAAAATCATCAGCAAAGCTGGAAAGCAGCATTACTGGCCCCAGATGAGACACTTGACAATGGAGAAGCCTTCAGTATAACACAGTCCCTTTCTCAACACTCCCACACAAAGAAACAGGCACAGAACTCAGATGTTTAGTCCTTAGGCACCACTGCTCCTGGAGGGTGCCAGCTTTGAACTGAGCTCCAGAAACTGCAAGGACTCTTCCAGCTGCTGGGAGAGAAGCTCTGCTCCCAGCTCCTAACATTAACTCCTCTTCCTTCCACAAATCCTGAAAGATTCATTGTGTTCCTGCACGCTGACCCTTGCTGGGTCTCAAGAGATCCAAGAGGAAAGGAGAAAAAAGATGGAAATGCCAAGGCAAAAAGGCCATAGTTTCCCCATCAGCAGAGAGCAGCAGAAAATCCATCAGCATTGTCATACAAGGAAGGAAGCCTCAGTCAGTGGGGCTAATAATAGGTATGGGACACTCAGAGAGAATGCTTTCAGGTGAAGAACCAGGGCTGCACATTGTCAGGAAGAAACAACTAGCAATTAATGGGCCTGCAGGTTAGGTTCTATATCATTGAGCACTCTCTGTCACTGAAAACCTTTTATATTTTCAGTAGAAAAATTCAACTAATCCTTCCCATGCAAAGAAGGGCTAAAACTCTGTCCTTTCCAGGAGGCCTAGCCAGCACCCTCCAACTTCACACCAGCCCAAGCTCCACACCCCTCCTCCTGGGAAGCTTACCTCCTATGACCTCCACAAACTCAGAGCCTGCCATGGCCAAGAATGGCACTTGTGCTTCTGTAGCCACAGCCTTGGCCAGCAAGGTCTTCCCACAGCCTGGTGGTCCTAGTAATAGGGCACCCTTGGGTACTTTAGCCCCAAGCTGAAGGTAGCGATCAGGACTCTGCAAGAACAACACAGCTCTGTCAGATCTGCAGCTCACATGAAGCATCTGAAGAAGAACTGGGCCTCCCAGAACTCCACAAGACTGTTCTCAACCTGAGCAACTCATGGGAGCAGCTGCACCTGCATTCTTTTAATGGAATTGGATACACAGAGATGGAGTCAGGCCGATCACAGCACAAAAAGCTCTCAGCTTATTTAAGCAGGCTGCTCAGTGTCATGAAGGATGAAGAGAAGAATATACTCTCCTCCCTAGGTCAGCCACCTATCTCAGAAGATGAGTAGCAAGCACCATTTTTGTTTTATTTTTAAATACCTTTAAATAGTCCACAAACTCTTTGACTTCCATTTTTGCTTCGTGCATTCCCGCCACATCCTTGAAGCCAATCCCTTTTCCCGACTTCCCATCCACGATGGTGAAACGAGCCATCTTCAACTGGTTCTGTGGGAGGCAGCACAAATCCTGAAGGCCTGCTCTGCCTTTGGACATAGCACAAGCCTGGAAAGGCTGTGTGTGACACTCTGAGAGACAGCACAGGTATAAGCTGCCCCTCAGAAGCAACACCAAAATGCCCACCAAGGCACTGGTGTTTTATTGATGTCTGCTCTGCAGACACTTCACAGCCAGACTGCAGGATCAGGGACTCAAACTTTAATGTTGCTCAGAAGAGAGAGAATCTGCAGTAACAGTCCTAACACAACCCAGGTTGAACTCCATGTAGACCAAGCAGGGATACTAATTAAAAACGTGCAGAATGCCCCAAACCTTATTTGGGATCTTCTCCCTGATTTCTAAATGCTCTGATCCTTAATACACATGGGATAGGCATTGTTTTGAGGAATAGGTATTGATGGTAAATAATTACCTATCCAGTCTTGTAAATGCATATGAACAGACACTTCCCATCCTTGCTCAATGCTGCCACTCGTTTCTACTGCAACTCAATCCGGGACAGAACTATAGGTTCTCAGATTTAACAGACACCACATTTCCATCTCCTGGAGTGTGTTAAGCCACAGTGACAGTCAAAACAAGAATTCAGTTAAACGCCCTCCTTGTAACTGCTCATTATGTTCTACTGAAAACAGCTACTCAGACTTTTTCTTTGAGAAGGAAGTTTACAGCTTCGCAGGCCTGAGAAACACCAGCTTATCCAAACGAAGAGTTAAACAGGCAGGGTTGAGCTGTCCCCACTTCTGCAAGGACAGCATCCAGCCCTCCAGGCCCTAATTACTCAACACTTCTTTACAATGCTCTTCTCCTCTGAGCAGCTGCATCCCTTTGTGTGAAGAGAATCCCAAAGCCAGAAAAGGAGATTGAGTGGGAAATCTAACAAGGGACTGAATTCACTGTATTTCATCCTCAAATCCCTGCAGTCCATGGAAGTGCACCCAGGGCTGATTTCTACAGTTTCATCAGCTGACCCAGGCAAGGGGGGAAATAGGGAGGAGGAGATTTCACTGATGTTGCAAGTGAGGCATGTGGCATGAGTAGAACAGGCCAACACATAACAAGAACCAGAATCTGAACATATTTTATAAATTTGAGAACTAGTTTTGCAGAAAGCAGCAATTCCTACTTCTGGCTGTATGGCAGGCATATTGGCAGGACCCAGGGAAAAACACCATCTGCAGCTGCAACTCATTAGCAGGCTTTTAAAAAACGCAGAGCAAACTGGACTGCAAATTCACTGAGCTCAGCCCTTCCTGCCGCGGGGAAAAAAAGGGCCTCAGCTCCAGCCGGGGACTCAGCCAGATGATTGGGCTGGAGAAAGATGCAAGATGTGTCAAGACTGGAGAGACCTTGGCCCCACTTAGTTCTCATTCTGCACTGACTTTAGGAGATGAGGCCAGCAGAAGACAAGACTACCCAGGGGTTCCAAAGCAACCTGAAGATGCAGGATACTCACAAAGGCGTTGAATCCTCCTGCCCGGCCTGCAACCCGAATGAGGCGGAAGAGGCTCCAGAGCATGGACAGAACCACAAGGGTCACCAGCAGGGAAGTGAGATCACTGGGAACAACAGCAAAACAGGTACAGGTTGAACTGCTCAGCCACAGCTGGGTAAATATTGCTCAGTATTACTATTTTCAGTATTCTGAAGGTCCTGACATTCAGGCTGGAAGTGCAGCAATGAGCAGACATGACTAAAAAAACGGAATCTTTACAGGGTCTTTTTATACATATAAAAACCAAAACCCCAACAATTGCGTAACCTAAGAAGTTGAACAGAGGACACTGGCAAATACTGCTTACAGCTGTGGAAGAAATTCGACCTCACCATCCCCTTCAGAGGCATTTCCAGTTATAAAACAAATAGGACCCTCAGGCAGACAAATCACACCCAGAGCAGAGGCTTGTGGGGCTGGCAGTCCATCCCAAGGGAGCTCACTGCAGGGGGCCTGTGTTTGGCAACACTAGGGAGATGCCTACTCCCCTAGTCCTGGCAGAAACCCCAGTACTGGTCTCCCATTAAGAGGCTGCTCTACCTAGCCTGGTTGGCCATCCCTGGTTAAGTCTCTCAGAAGTCCCTTATGTGAGAAGGAAGTGCCACAACAACCACCACCACCAACTTTCTGGATCCTCTGCAACATCAATCGCATGAGCAGGGAGATGTGGAGCAGAGCTGGCACTGAGGGGCTAATGCAGTTGCAGGACAAACACACCGAGGACAAATATTTTGTGAGCTCTACATGAAGGATGCAAAAACTATCACATCAGATGACAGTTTGGGAACTGTGGGACCCTGCTCTGCTCCACGTGTCTGTGAAATCATCTGGTCTTGCCACACTTCTGTCTCTTATCTTTAAACTAGCAACATGCGTTCCACCTCCCACAGAGGGGTGATTTACTTAAGCAAGGGGACCAGCATGTGCTATACATCCAGCTCCAGTTGGTTCTTCTCAGGGAGAGATCCTAGGCAACACTGGAAACTGAAAGTCACCCTCCATTTGTCAACTACATTTAATTTTGAAGGACACATCTCACAGTAAACTGGATCCAAGCTACAGGTGCTTTGCCCCTCACAGGTTCAAACTCCAGAGTGAGGTTATGAACCCTCCAGACAAGTCTCCTGAGAGACTTCAGACCCTGTAATACGTCTTAAAAAAACCAACTCTTTTCAGGGCCAGGGGAAGCAGCTTGTATTGGTGGCTGACTAACTGTTCAGTCTACTCTTCCTGTTACACACAGGTTTGAAAAAATTGGCAAGTTCTGAATTTCAACTAAAGGTCTCATACTGCATGATCAATTAAAAGAATTATCTTCCTATAAACCATGTATTAAAAATATGCTATTCAGAGGACAAGCAACTAGACAAAATCCAGTCCAGGAATCCATTCACATAGGAACATGACTTTTTGTAAGGTGTCTGGGAGGAACACACATGGGCCATCCCCACCTGCAGCTGGAAAGGCACTGTGCTCCAAACCCCACCAGCTACTAAAAGCAGCAGATGATCTGCACCTTCACTCTGCATGGTACACAAGTAGGTGACCATGCAGACAACTAGTGGCAGGAATCTGTTGTCAGAAATCAGGATTCCTTTAATTGGCAGACAGGACTCAGTACTACCTCTCTGTTTGTACTGCAGAGTAAGCAGCTAGCTGAGAGCTCTCCAAACACTGAAGCCTCTTCCTACACGTAGGGAAATGATGGCCTTCAGTGATGGAGGTGGACTTCAACAGTCCAGTGGGTGAGCTTCAGAGTCTGGTTTGTGCTCTGGACCCCATAAATCCTGCCTTGCAAAAACAAGCTTAGCTGAAGTGCAAGTAGGAGCAAAACATTACTACATCATATGAAAGCCCAGAGTAAAGCCTGGCCAGGGCCCTAGAGTCTTTTCACAGATCTTCCCTCTTCTCTGAACTATCTTAGTTCAGAATTAAAAGTGAGGGATGTTGTCACCAATATAAAAATCAGCAGTAAGCACAAACTTGTATCATACTTTCCATAAATGCCAGGATGTTTGTAGGAAACAGGGATTCTCTCTCTCTCATCAATATTCAGCTCGTCCTCTGCAGCTCTCAGCTTCTCTTCAAATTTGTCAATGTTTGCCACCCGCATGGTGTACAACAGGGTCACGTTCTGGGGACATGCAACCAAGAGCAGTGGATGAGTACTGGAGGGTAAGAGACAACAAGGAGCAGAAGTGCACAACATGAGCCAGTCAGAGCCAGGTCAGCTTTGTCTTATATCCTGCGATGCTGCATCAATGAATTCATGAGCAGGGAGCTGATTCTGATGCTCCACATGAACTTAGAACACCTCCAGTCTCCTCAGAGCAAGTTTACCAGCTAGAGCTTCACTGAGCATGTAGAATCATAGAGTGGTGAAGGTTGGAATGGATGTTAAAGATCATCAGGTTCCAACCTCCCTGCTCTGAGCAGGGACACCTCCCATCAGACCAGGCTGCACAAGCCTCATCCAACCTGCCCTTGAACATCTCCAGGGAGGGGGCAGCCACAGCTTCCCTGGGCAACCTGTTCCAGTACCACGTTATGCTCACGGGGAGGAATTTTTTCCTGATGTGTATCCTAAATCTCCCTGCTTTCAGTTTAAAACCATTACCCCTTGTCCTGTCACTGCCCTCTCTGGTGAAAAGCCCCTCCTCAGCTCTCCTGGAGCCCCTTCAGGCATGTTCATTACTTCAGTTCTTTACAGCATTATAATCTAAGATCATTCCAACTGCAGTCACTCACAACTTGTCCATGGGGAGTTCCTCCTGGGTGCAGATAAACCTCCACAATGTCACTCTCAGGCACCACTTCAATTCTCTGGACCTCACCCTTTGCCAGCATCTCATTGACAAAGTAGTTCCAGGAAATGCTAGTCCCTTCTCTGTTCTCAGTGACCATGAACCGGAACATCAGCACTATGAGTGTCAGGATGAGCAGGGCCCGCAGGCGTTCCAGGTGCAGCTGATTTTCCCTTTTTCTGCGTTTCTCCTCCTCTGTAGAAGGAACAACAACAACAAAAAATGATGTCAGAGAAAAACAGATATGAGCATGTGATTGCTGAGCTTTTTGACCTAAGGAAAGGACAATTCAATGACAAAGACTGACACACCAGCAGCTCTCGGGGGTTTCTGGTTGCACGTTTGGTTTCTCCTGAAGGACCAGGCTCAGAAGCAGGGCCAACCTGCATTGCACAGGCAGTTTTCTGCTTGGCTCACAAAGGAGGTTGTGTGACTTGCCCAAGGTTACATCCATGAGTCAGTTTTTTGGATAGTGTGACCTTCCCAGACCTTTCTGGCTTCTAGACCACAGGGCCTCAGCTGCACACGGGAAACAGCGCCAGGTCAGAAGCCTGTTTATGAAAGCACCAGCACTCGATGGAAACAGTTGCCTGAAAGGAGGCAAATTCTGCATCCTGCCAGCAACAAACCAGCCTGCATCCCACTGCTGCAGCTGTGCTCAGCTGCTCCCCCATGCCCCAACAGCCAGGCAGTGAAGCAGTGTGTGCACAGACCATGGAGCTGATGGAGGAGGAATTTGAATTTGAGGAGGAACTGAAGCATCAACCAGCCGAAGACAGACCCTCACTTGCAAATGTTGTTGACTGTATGAAAAGAGACAGTGACCTCAGACACATTTAAAAGAGCTCCGATCAGCACTGCCTGTTTCAAGGCAGTCTAATCCTCCTCCAGCAGAATTCAGGTGGTCCCCTGGAACCATCACAATCCCACCAAGTGCAATTGTGTGCTAAAATGAAAGAATCTCTCACTTGCCTGGCCTAACATGGGTATATATGCAGCCTACCTGTGTATATCAACACTCAAAGCCATCTCACTTTCTGAGGTTGCACAGATTCCCTCCCATGCTGCAGCACGAACCTCATGTACAAAAAGCTGTGATAACTTGTCCACGTGAAGGCTCCGTGCCAAAGAAGATTCCCAGACTAGCTGAGCCTCCCCCACCTCTCCTGCACCAGTGACCCACTGAGGTGGTGAGATCAAGGGATGGTTTGCTTGAAGCCTTTGCCACCACACCTTTTTTTTTTTCTCCAGACTCTCAACATTTTTTGCACTGTGTAGGCAAACTGAAATAAAATTCTGTGGCCTGCAAAGGACTGCACAGCTCAGTGTCAGCTGCTGGCTGGTGCTTGAGCTGCTCAGATGACAGTAAGTATCTCCTCTTCTTCCCAGTCATATCTGGATGTTCTTGATATATAATTTAGCACTTGATATACAATTTAACACCAACATGCCATACATACAGACTATCCTATACCCAGAAATAAATTCCTTCTGCACCACTGGCTGCCAGTGCCCCTGCCCTGCTGCAGCCCAGATCCATTTATTTGCAAATTCCTAACGAATGTTCTGACACCAGCATTTATCACTAGCCACCAATTAGACCCTCCACACACTGCAACACAACCAGGGGACAAACATATGACCCAGTCAGATGCTAAAAAAAGGACTCTGTCCTTCAGATCCACAGCCTCATTTTTCACTCGTTTCCCAGCTCTGCTCCACATCCAACAGGAAAGGCTGGTTCCTAAATAGAAACAATGCAGCTTTTCAGATAAGGTCATCATTTCAAAAGAGTGACAAGCTCAGACACTGTGCCCAGCCCATCCACTTTTTTCTTCACTGCCATCTCCTCACTCCTCTGTTATCTGCTCCATCCACCTTCATTAGAACACAGCAATTCATCACAAAGCTGCAGGATGACACCCTCTGTAGTCTTGTTACAGAAAATTTAAATATAGTAGGATAGAGGCCTTAGTCTGAGTAATATCCTGAAGAGCTGAGCAAGCTCTAAAAAATATCTCTATAGAGAAAAGAAACAACTCTAGGATGAGTCCAGCAGCAAGTCCACCCTTTGCTGTGTAGGTTCCTTGGAAATGCCAGAGCCAACTGTGGCTAAAGCATCTTGCTCTGGCACATTTCAGACCAGGTGAGGAAGCATCCATGATGTTCCCAAGTACACGTGGCTGAGGATACTGCCACAAAAAGATCACCAGGAGGTAGGAGCTGGCCATTAGATATTTTGATGCAAACAACCTCTCCAGTTTCTAGGAATTACCTAGGGCCTGTCACCTACAGCTGAATAATTTCAGGAGATGAACATTTCTAGAAAGCTATAAGGCAATGCAAAGCTTTCTTCTGCTCTGCTCTTAATTAAAGACAAATCCAATCTATTTCTGTGCTTATGCAAAGTGTGACTATCTTTACAATACAGCATTCATATTGCACCATGAGCTACCCCACATTATTCGGCAAATGAGAACCAGTAACTGCCTGTGACACTTGCAAGCAACAGCTGTGGGAATACTTCCAGCTTTTCAGTCTCAAAAAGCCTCCATGAAGCAATGATTTGCCATTAACCCCAAATCTGAACTCTCTGATTAAAATCTTGCAAGGGCTGCAGTGACAGTTTGAAGAGTTCTTTTTAATAATTACTGCAGAGAGGATATTCCCCTGGAGCCACAGGGCAGCATTCCACCTCCCAAAGCCAAGCCATCCATTAATCACAGGAGAAATGAGGCCACCAAACATGATGTGTTTCTGTTTACTGATTTCAGCAGCTCCAACACTACTGCAGGGCCCTGTTCAGCCACCCCATATGCTCCTGCAAACACTGAGGGCCCCAGCCTCGAAGCTCTGCCTCCCCCAAGGAGAATACCTGCCCTCACATCCCACTGAAGGCTTCATCCCAGTTAAATGGATCAAACAGGCACAGCTGCTGCTCTTGCCTTAGAGAAACTGCAATGGCAGGAGCCAGGCTCAAAGTCAGCAGCAGCTGACTGCTTTTACTTCAGAAGTCAGTTAATTCAGGAGGATTCTACCATTGTGCTTAAGTACAACAAAGGAAAAGCCAAGTGATTACATTATCTGATGACACCTAAGTGAAAGTTTATCACGTAATTTATAAAATCATATTACAATGCACCAATGCGGTGCTAAGTGCCTGCCAACTCGGTACAAAGCTCTGGAGCCCACCATCTACAGCAGGTTCATCCCTCACTCAAAGGGCTAGGACACAAGCAGCACAACAGACATCAAAATACACTCTCTGAAGACATCAACAGTCCCTAAAAGCATCAACTCATGACACAACATGAAGAAAATTATTAGGTCTGTCACACTTCTGCAAGCACTACTGACTAGATGGAAGACTGAGACCTTCACCTGGGCCTTCACTTCTGATACCTTTCTTGAATTGCCCCACCAGGCCTGCAGATGGAGGACAAGCCATCAGCTATGGGACTTCACACCTAGAAATCTACACCAGAGAGTCTGAAAACATGCCTTATCCACAGCCCAGAAAAGCTCTGCAGGCACTTCAGTCCTTGGGAGGCACATACAAACAAGCACAGCATTTTCCTTCCAGAAGTGGAAGAGTCAAATTACACTAAATGGAAAGCAGCTGGTGTCAATCTACAAAGAGCAGAAAGTTGACAACAATAGCAAGACTTGAAGGGACACTCACAAAACCCACTCCTATTTGAAAAATGCTTGGTGAAAACCTACTGGTAGAAGATAACAACAGTGCCACCTACAAGGATCAGAACACTGCCTGGCAGAAGTGACAGGAGGTTTTTTGTCTAGTACACTGAGGTTACCCCCCCACACCCACACACCTCATTAGTATCATTAAATTCCTCACCCCCTTAAGGTACAGAGAGGACACTCCTCCACTGCCCAACATTATCTGGCACACCATGGAGATCTCTGGGATCCAGGACACATTTACTGAGCTAAAACTCATTTTCAGTAAGTCCTGCACAGCAGGATGCCTGGGGTTGAGGCAGTCAGTATAAAACGTGCAAAAAACAGTATCTAGGAAGACTGATATTTTAAAAAAAAGAACAATTCTGGGCAAGTGCCGTTAGCAACACAGCTAAGAACTTTTAAGGAATCTATTTTTATGTCTGAGCTCTGTAAATCACTGTAAGCAGAGACATATCCACAGTGAAGGTAAATGAAAGGTAAGAGAAAAACAGAACCCAGCTTCAAGAACTAAATTTAGTTAATACGAGTTTAAGACAAAATGCTCTACAACAAAATCTCCAAACCAAAACTCAGTTAATTCCACTGCTCCACCTTGTAAAGCACCAAGGCTAAGGCAAACATTAATGAAGTTATTTACATCAGATGCAAAGGGGCACAAAAAGAATCCGTTTCATGATCTGTCTTGAATCTCAGCACTCCCATCACCTAAACAGCCCTTCAAACACGTTCCAGGCCACGGGCTGGGGAGGTGCTGAGTTACAAGGTTCAGGTTTACAGCTTGCCAGGGCCAAAGGCACTGAGGAGGATCTTCCACACTGTCCACCCTCATCCCTCTCACACACACAGATTGTTACACTAAGTGTCTTTCTAGCACAGACATACCATCATCCTCCTGTGGAGATTTCTTTTTGAACCCTCCATTCTTCTGGTTACTCCTCTGGGAGCTTGAAGTAGTAAACCAGTAGGTGCTACCTGCAGGCAAGCAGAGTTAAGTAGTTACTACCAGGAGACCTCAGGAGACAGGGAGAGAGTGGGACAGAAGATGGCAGAAACTCCAAACATGGAGCAAGCAAAGCTCCACATCTACCCAAGAGCACAGATTGATTCCTGTGCCAAGGAAACAGGACAGGCTCAGCAGAGGGAGCAATGGGAGGGACAGTCTCCTTCAGCTGCCTTAAAACTCATCCTCCCAGTCTGAAGAGTGAGAAGAAGAACTGACTTTGTTTTACCTTTCTGTAGTTTTGCTTTTAGCATTCAAATAACATTTTCTAAAATACACTTTAAACTTGTTCCAGTGCAAGGTTTTCAGCAATGTCAGGTGACAAAGGTGGGTGACATTGCCTCAGGAGCAAAGCCTGTGATGAAAGAGTCTCTCCTTTAAAGTCTGTAGTTTTTAAATTAGCTTTTTAGGTCTAATGACTCAAGTGTTCCCTTCACCACGTTGAGCTCCTTGAGAAAAGGTGCCTCTGTTCATCCCTGTCACCAAACAAAAACCTGGAACCCCTGCAAAATGCACACCCCGCCCCAGCCAAGAACAGAAGAGCTTTGTTTCAGTTTCAGGAACATAGGCAGTGCAGGTAAGGAAGTCAATATTCTTACTAAATAAGACCTTTTCCCCTCCTCCCCTGGACAGTTGTTCCTCAGGACTCACCTAAGAGATTCCAAAGCCTGACTGGATCTCTAATTATCTGTTGTTTCACCAGGGCTCCACTGAGACCTCGAGGTGTGGGGGAAAGTGTTTGTGACAGAAGGCTCTGAGGAAGAAAAACAGAAAAGGATAACAATTGGATTGCTTAACCTTTCTGTGTGCTCTGAGACTAAGATTCCTAAACATGAAAATATTGTGGCAAGTAGCAGCTGGGAGACCTGAACAGTATTCCTGGTAGTGCTGTAAACTTGCCATGTGACTCCAAAGATGTTGTTTATAACCCCATTTAAAGAAACCATATGTATAAACAGAAACATATACTCAAAACACTGGAAAATTTTCTTTTTTCTCCCTGTTTTTCATTCTAAAGGTCTGTTGGAGGTCAGTTCTGAAAACGTGAAGATCCCTTTTCCACAAAGGGAAATGTTCAGGGCCATGACTTTGTAACCCCACTGCCTGGCAGGAAGGACAACACAGCCACTTCCCCTGGCAATCCAGCAGCAATCCTGCCACCAACATTCACATTTAAAGGCATCTTCACAACACTGGAACTAACATTTACTAACGCTCCCACTGCACACAAGTCTTGGCCTTTTTCTGATGACTGACTTCCTGTCTAACCACCCCTCTACTGCACAGGCACCAATTTCTGAGCAGCAAAACCATCCAGGGGCACTGATGAGGCCAAAACCTCTCACCCTTTTTTCCAGGTTTGCTGGGCAGCAACAGGACTGTTCTGCTGCCTCGAGAGGGAAACCTCTTGGGATTGATACTTTCTAGAACACAAAACAGCTTAGAGCAGTTTAAATCAATCACAGAAAAGAACTGGCACGATTCACAAAGCAGTCCCACAATTGCTCTTCCTCCATCACCTACTTGGCCTACTTGGACAGGCAGGGCTTTTCCACTGCACTGAACAAAAACACCCAAAAAAGGTCTTAAATAATTTTTGGAGGCCTGTTTCAAACATGGACTTTTCCTTCTGCCTTAAGGGCTGAGGTGGGGAGGGGGAAAATGCATCTGTGGAGCACATGAATGTGATGGGTAGTTACACAGAATCACAGAATGGTTTGGGTAGGAAAAGACCTTCAACATCATCCAGTCCAACCACTAACCCAGCCCTGCCCAGGCCAGCCCTGCCCCATGTCCCTCAGCACCACATCTACAGGGCTTGGAAACCCCTCCAGGGATGGGGACCCTGCTCTGGGCAGCCTGGGCCAGGGCCTGACAACACTTTTGGGAAGAAATTTCTCCCAATATCGAGCCTAAATCCCCTTGGCACATCTTAAGGCCGTTCCCTCTGCTCCTGTCCCTTGTTCCTGGGGAGCAGAGCCCGACCCCCCTGGCTCCACCCTCCTCTCAGGCAGCTGCAGAGCCAGCAGGTCTCCCCTCAGCCTCCTGTTCCCCAGGCCCAACCCCCGCAGCTCCCTCAGGGGCTCCAGCCCCTTCCCCCGGGACACAAAACGCCAGAACC